TAACACATGTTCATCCCACATGTTGATACCTTTGTGGAAGAGCTCTTGGAGGCTCTCTGCACTCTGGCTTAGTACTGCCCACACCTCCTCCTCCTGCAGTGGACCTCCTCGTACCTCCAGAGCCTCAGCCAGGGACACGTGCATTTTCCCTGTAAACACAAATTTTAGGGGTTACAATTTTATATGAAAAAAAGTTTTTCAAAAGGTATTTTGTATGTTGCTATAAAGACCATCTAGTACAAACAAATTGATAAACACATGGTTGTCACCACTAATCACATTATTGTGATGACTGGTCAAGGTGTCTTGCTCAATAACATCACAGCAAGGCAAGAGTTCCAACCTCTAATATTCCGGTTGTAGGATGATCCCTCATGCCCTGAGCAGCCCAAAACAATACAATATCTGTCTTATATGCAAACAGGTAAACACATGTTGAGGATTTTAAAGTGTCTAAAATATAGGGCAAACATAAAAAGTGGGGTTTATCTTAATTGCAGCCAATAAATCATTTGTCTTCACTAGGAAAGTTGATATATCAGTTTTTGGTATTACAATTAATATGAGAAGAGACGAGATGGTTTTACAATTATTAACAGTTTGGACTGGTTTGGATTCAAGTATGGACTACTTTACATACTAAAATTGATTTTTACAGCAGAATATTGTAAACATGTAGCCAAGCATCATTGCAGCACCTTTCCCAGATTTGGAGTTAACACATGCTGCAGCACGTTGGGCCCAAGGCTAACAAAGACGCCAGCCATGTCAACCAAAGACTGGCTAACTCTTTTGATTTGCTGATCTTTTTTTCATTTGTTTCACTATAAAGCCTCAAAAGTAAAGCATTAAGGATTTGATCCACTGAAGTTCACCTGAGTGAGGGGGACAATCTGACCATATGTGAAAAGTTACCAAACATTAAATCACTGTCTCCAAGCCTTGTGAACCTAAGGATAGGCTCATCACAAATGAAGAGCTAGCCTAGAACTAAGTTCTAGCAACAGTGAAGTACTCATGTGACCCATCTGAAAATGTTTTGCAGGCAACGTAAAACAGGAATTACCAAACAACATACTGTAGCTCTATGCCCATTACACAGTAAGAAAATGAAAATAACATCTGTGTCACGCAGTACTGGGTTGTGTAAGGAATACTACTATACACGTCACTGTAGTCAATATAGATAATGGGTCTCATTTTGTTAAAATATTGACAATAATCCTTTTGTATGCAAATGTATATAATATATGTAAATGTTTGGAGAATTTCATATTTCAGTCACATTTTATATAATAATCTCAAATTACTCATTTTTGCACTGTCCAAATTTCACAGGACTTCTGTTCTTACAATATACTTTACAAGTATATTGCTCACATCTCATTTTTAAACTCTGCGGTGAATCTTCAGTATTTTTTATTATATGCATACATCTGCCAGGAATTTCGTACCTTATCCTTTTGTTAATATCAAGTCTAAATTACAGTTCTAGGAATTTGTATAATCCAAAGCAGAGCAAATGTTAGCATGGTATCAGCAGGGAAAAAGCTATACATTCTTTGTGATGTCAAGACAAGCAGTAATCAAAGGACGGTTACAAAACACAAACACACAAAAGTACTATAGTATCTGTAGCAGGGGAGATCAGTGGTATCTGCACAGTGCAGATTAACATGAACTGTCCCACTGTAAGTGTTAGGTATCAGGTTAGTTTAATAAATTATTGTATTCATGCAAAGGATTTTCCTGCTACTAATACAGGACTTGGAAAAAACAGTTAATGAGTAAGCAGACATGGCAGAGAGCTATATGTTAATGCAGGAATTTGAGTTAACAATTTCTGTCAGTGGGAGGCAACAAGAAATGTGAGGTGAATTGGGCTAGTACCAATCTTGCTCATTGCCCATGAGAATAGAGGCCATTTGAACTGTGAAGACTGATTGTTTGGTGGCTCTTGTTTTTTCAGTAAAGACCTACAGTGGAATGTTTTTATCTGTGCTCCTCTCTCTCATTGGACTATGCTCCTGCTCATTATGGAGGGGGGCTTAGGAGGCCGCAGCCCAAAACAGTCAGAGCAGACAGCCCTCAGCACTTGAGCGCCTCATTCTTTCTCCCTTTGTCAAACAGTGGGCATATTTGTTCCTCTATGCATTCCCACACTGTAGTTGTACAAAGAAGAATTTAAAACAAGATTAGATTTCTGCTGTTTGAAAGTCTTGGCCACAGTCACAAGGATTTTAAAGAAAATAATCCAGGAAACGTGATAGTTCTCTTTACTCTGTAGTACTTATGTGTAGCTTTTCTTTCCTCCCAACAGACTGAAAAGTGGGCAGAACCCCCTGAAAAATACAACTGAAACAACAGTTGATCTAAGTACAGTCATGTATTTATTTATTTATTTTATGAAAATGAATAAAACTTTAGGATGGATTTCTGTTATGAAACAGTATTTCCAACATGCGTTATGATTTGGGAAGGAATTTGTTCATATCCTCCCAACATCGAGGCTGTGGTTACAGCTGGCAAATGCATTTGGAAGAGGAATGGATTTAAAAAAACACAGTGAAAACAGCAAAAGAAGAAAATAATCCCCCATTTTCAAGTAGACTACTTTGTTAGATATATACCAGATATAACAACAGGGGTACAATCTTTACAACAGACATAACATGCATTGAATCTCTCCTCCCAAATACAATTAAGTAGGTCATAACACTTTTGCACTTAAAGTTAAAGTAATCAGCTAACTGGCTTTTCCAGATTGTCTTGATCTGACATGTTGAAACTGAGGACTAGAGCACTGATCTCATATAGTTTGGGCTGTCTGCTGATTGAGGAGAGAAGCTAAACTAAAAGCAGAGTTGCACTTTTCCATGGACATCACTGCTGCTCTGGACGTATGACCCTCAGTGCCCATTTTGGGTTCAACCTCATCCGCTCCATTTCTGTTAATCACAGGGTTGCTATGAGTACCGTGACAAGCGGAGCATGGTTTTGCAAAACCTCATTTCAACCACTCCTCCCCTCAGAAACCCAACCCACGAGCTGTTTTCCCTATGCTGATGCTCACTAAGTTTATCAGAGGGCCAGGAATTCCAGCCAGGAATGCCAGTCTTGCCCAATCTCTCCACCTCTTTCTATGGGCTTGAATGACACATATTCAAACTCGTGGTGACCTCTGACACAGGGATAACTTTACTACTTTTCCATGTTAATGAAGGGGGAGGGGGACATGGCCGCCACTTCCTCACACCCCAATAAAACCTTCAGTGTGTGATGACATGTTATAGCCTATATAGAAATGCCTTTGTTAAGGCTACAGACGCACTATGGCAGCTTAAGCTGGCTACTGTGTATTCAAGTGGGGGTGAACTTGAATGGTGTTATTGATTTGCTTTAAATAATGAGGTCTCCCTCCAGAAATAGGCTATTGTGGTCGTAACTTCACAGGCTAGTTCCACTAAGCACCAACACTAATAGGTTATCCTATCCATCTATTCTAGTCTTGAAATTGAGGATACATGGGCCATTATTTTCCCCGGCAAAATGTCCTGACAAGAACTCACTTATAGCCACAAAATGACCATAACGTACACCATACACAGCAAGTATCAAAACTTACCGGGCGAGCAGAGCTACGCAAAAACTTCAAACAAAAGTGGTGGTGCTCCAACAAGGCTAGGAGTGCACACGGGACCATACGCCATCCCATCCACAAAGCAACATCTTGGGATACTCGCCGACTGAACGCACGGCAAAGACAGGCAACAGGTCTACCGTTCCGTGGAGCTCGTAGTCACACAAATCCACATTAACGACAGGTACTTTCCACGAAGAGAGCAGCAAAATGGATATAGTTCTCCAAAAAGTGGTTAAAGACGTGTTAGATGGCGACTACGCTACACTTCTCCTCAGGCGCAGCCAAGTTGCCAAAACTGTTGAGGAGTGAATAACCCCTCCCTTTGCCCAGAGAGCGTGGGCTGTCTGGGAGTAACCAGACACCTTACTACGCCTCTCCATTGGCTGCCAGCGAGGGGACTGTCTTTACCGTCTCTATAGTAACACACAACCAGGAGCACAACTTAAGAGCTGAGGCATAGATGATGATGAAGGCTCAGTTATGCCTATAATGATGCCTATAATGTTTAGGATAACAAAAATATAGCCTTCTGTGTAAGATTAACACCTTAAACTCTCTCCTTCACCTCTATTGGTGAAGTTCAATTATTAAATTAAAATATTTAAATTAAGTCACGGAGAGCATCCTTTTCTAGAGCTCAATGTTTAGTCTGTGAACTACTTGTTTAGGCACTGGTCACGCCAATCAGGAAGCAATTCTGGTCTGAGTACTTCCTTCCTTTGCTGGACTTCAAAGCCATGGCTAAGTCTTTTATTTATTTATTTATTTATTTTGCCATTTCTACTACCATCTAGTGGTCATTTCTTCACATTGCACACAAATGTTCTTATTTTCTCGTTTCCATCTTCTTTAGATACGTTGAAAGAGTGAAGAACAGGATTAAGCGTTCGCCTGAAAGATGGTGTGCATATCATTTTCAATAGCCTATTTACACAGTTCATTTAAAAATAAAATATATTTTCTGACCAATGTTCTGCACAGGTTATCTTTTTTTCTGCAATATTGTGTCGATCTTTGACGAATAGGCTTTATAGTTTGTAAACTATGCCGCAGCACAAAAACTCAACGTTTTGTTTAAAAAGAATAGTCGTAGACCTATTTTGATTATGACCTTAATTATTATTTGTTGGATACCACCACAAGCAAAGTGATCTTTTACGGTGGCCGGATTAAGGTCTGTGGCATCGCTGCTCTCTCTCCTCCTCTCTAGTCCTTTGACGTCAGATGTGCTCATGCTCTGTCGGCATAGCAACACATTTCCCTACACCCCCTGCTCTCCTCCTCCTCCTCTCCTCCTCCTCCTCCTCCCTCTCCGCGCGCTGGTCTCGCTCCACAATGGTACAGGCAGCATCTTGCAGCACAATGGTTGCAAGGTGGTGAACGGGGGGATAGAAGAAGTGATTCAGCATCCGAGAGTCCTTATCCGTCCACCACTGCTTGTTTTATTTCTCCATCGCCATTTTCTTTTAACATTTTCCCCTTTCCTCCATCTTTATGATTCGGTGCAATGGACTTGGTCGGCATGATGTTTTCCGTGAGGATGTTTTGAACAGGACTGTCACAGGACTGGGCTCGTCATCAGCTGGCACGGAATGGTAAGGCCGGCCCTCGGGTTGTTTGGTGCGGGGATGCGAGGTGGACGTCAGCCTTGAAAGTGCAGTGGTGATGAATATGCTATGGTTGCTAAGAGTAGGTTATTGTAACGAGGTAGGTACAGTAACGATGCCTAAATAGGAATATTATTCAAAACAAAAATATTCAGGCAGTGAGGATTGGTTTTGTAACATGCTGCACTGTGCGGGGATTCCATTATGGCGTTGTCTTGCCCTGACAAAATAACCTACTCCCTCTCCATCCCCTTTACATCTCCTCAGCATTATTAAGCCTTATTATGATGTGTTTTATACGCACACACACTATGTTATAGTAATCAGCTGATCATGCAGTGGCTACTTTATGTGCTGTTTCGATGACTAAAGTCAAAACATCAGTGCAGTCGTGTGGCCTTATGGTGCAGTTGTGTAATGCTTGTTTGATGTTATAGGAGAAATACAGGAGTGGTGCAGTTGGTTAATGGATGACCACAGCCGTATACTGTTCAAAACACAAGCCTTTTATTAGGCCTACTGTTGGTCTTCAACATGCAGAGTCTAACCACCTCTCACTAGGACTCAGCTGCGCACCTTGTGCATTATGCAGACCATCAGGACTTCTAGTATGTGGGGCCCATAACAAATCCCACACAAACAAACAAAACAAAACTAGGTTAAATTGCTTAGTTTTATTGATTTAATGTAACTTATTAGAAGTGCTGGTGTGTTTTGTTTTTTATAACACATAGCCTGACTACTCTTGGAATATTTTGTAGTCTAAAGGTCATCATGTTGGGCCTATATTGCTCATCCCAGGTCTTGTGACTACAAATGACTAGAAATCATATTCTTTGTTTTTCTTTTCTTTTTTTTTTTTTTTAAGCGTTGACTCAAATGACTGATTACTAGCAGCTTTGTAGAACTTAAGAAACTGTGCTGCTTTGGTGCCATTCGTAAAAGTTTCTCATCAAAATGTTGAAAACATGTTTTAATGCTGTGACCTTGATAGCTGAATTATTTAAATACATCGTATTTTTTTCTTGGTGTTTTATAACATAAACTGTATAATACCCACATTTGATGCAGTCTATTTATGGCCATAGTGACTGCAGGTTTGGTCACAATTATAATCAGTATTATTGATTTGGAAGTAGACAGCTTGTTTACTCAATATAGGATTCTTAATGTTGACTATGCTGACTGTTGTATATAACCCCATCTTGGTAAATTACAAAGGCAGCCTAAAATTGAAGTCTCCTTAATCTGTTGTGTATATTTGGTTTATGTTTCCAGTGACTGTGAACTACAGCATGCTTTTGTATTGGCTTTGATCGGCAGTGAACACCACTGATGCTGTTCCAGTGTGTTTCCATGACATCCACTGCTCACTGACCTTGTCGAGTATCAAAATAAAGATAATAATAAGAGACACTGGTTGAATGTGAGAGCTGAATGTGAGATGTTTGGTGCATTTTAAATTAATAGCTGTGTTTAAAACAAGCACAATTATTTACTGCCATATGTAAACGTTTACAAATACCCTATAAAGACCAAAATATTGCAAGACAATACTTTAAATTTAATTTGATGTTCAGGTTGTAATTTCTATTTCACACACTACAGTTAATTGAATTTCCTTGCACATTTAGTTTTTATTTTGATTTATTTGGTAGTGAATGCTAATAAGAATAAAGTAACAGTCAGCAAATAATGGTTAGAGCCACATCTTCAAATCATATTTTCACAATGAAATTTGTATTGGCAAAATAGTGGGACTATAAAACTGGATTAAAGCATGCAAGGAAATGAATAAATTATAAAATCCACAATAAAATGCAATATGTTTCAATTTGCTGAAAAAGTGCAAACAACAGGTTTTGGCACAAAAGTCCTTTAAAACACAATACTGTCCTGAGAATTGTAAGTGCAGCTAAAATTAAAAGTAGAAAGAGGAAGCCTGCATGGAGCAAAGGACTTGGTTGGAACAGGAACAGCATCAGGCATTAATCTCCTAATTACTTCGCAGCAAGCCAGAAACAACTGAAAAAATATATTGTATATATATATAATATATTAAATATATTGTAATTTTATTTTTATAATTTCAATTTAAATTTTTTTTATTTTTAAATTGTCATTTATTAGATTAAAACTGAAGTGTTAGCATGTTTTCAGCTAGATTATGTTGTTTATTTAGTGTTGGAGGGTGGTGACACAGAGACATCTATGGAACAGTTTTTTTTTTTGCATCAAACAGTTACATTTACATCACAACTCCTGTTTGATGCTTTTGGACTGTTTCCATGGCATTTTTGCGTTTTCCCTCCCCTCAGTGCCCACACATGAGACTCTTCTGTGTTTAGTTAGGGCACCTCAGCGGGGCTATGGCTGCATATATACTGCAGGAGAGAGGAGAGGGAAGCTGGGGCACTCACAATGAAGCTGGGGGGAGGGGCGGCGATCACTAAAGCCAGGAGACTCAGGGATGGGAATGGTGGAAAAATGACATCCAGGGACAGAGAGGGCTACTGGAATACTCATGATGGATGCTGCTGAAGAATGCAGGGATAAAGATATGCTGTAATGCACCACAGCAAAAGAAAAAGCATATAAGGAATAGACAAGGTGGCTATTCATGTAGGTAGGAGCCTTTAGCAAAAATAATTGACTGGGATGTTGTTTTCAATGTAAATAGTAGTGGGCCAAATGGTCGATCTTCGTGTTGAGATAACCTGTCCTGGGTAGCTAAAATGCTATGTTTGAAATGAATTTCAACCTAGAGTGTACAGTTTATTGTTAATGTCATAATAGATTTTGTTTTTATTTTTTGTTATTGTAGTTTGAGGTGCCATGTGCTTTTCTTTTCACAACCCCATTCATTTTTTTCAGTCCATCTACCACATAAAACCCTTTCACTGCAAGATATATTTATAAAACATTTTATTAAGATAGGATTCATTCAACACCAACCTGCTGTTTGTTCTTCACAAACAGGGCTGGGTAATTTTATTTCTTGTCTTGATAATTGAAGATTTATTTGTATTCATTTCCATTTTTCTTATTAAAACAATTCAGTAATACTTTGAATATGCCATTTTTAAGTGCCATTTAACCTAAAAATTCTCCCAAATATTGTACTCTGATTAAAAGTTGCTGTTATTATTGATGACAACAACTGCACATGAAATAATTTGGAGTGGTAAAAATTCAGCATACCGCATTCAGCAGCCACAAAATTGTAAGTTATAACATGTCAGTTACTATATAGACCCTTTTCTCTGCATTTGTTCATTGTATCATAATTCCATAATATCATCTTAATAGTAATGGTTTACAATTTCCAAACCATAGCCTACATTATCAATATGATACATTTGGTATGTTACTAGATTACCTGCAGTTCTTTCATTGTTTATTACAAGAACATTTTAATCACAAATGATTGCAGCAGTCACATGTTTATACCTTTACATATTATGATGAAACTAGTGTATCATTCTATTTGCTTACCCGCTCTCCTCTGAATTGGCAGTGCCCTGATGAGGCTACCCCTGCAGTCACAATGATAAATGGGCATTTGGGCAAAAGGTGCTGAGCAGTATTAGCCCAGACTACAGCAGTGTTTTAACTGTGACCCTCTCAGCACATTCAGTTAACTCATTCTACATTTAATCTGAGCTCCAGTGAGAAATGGAAACATATAAACTGAATTGGCATGCTTTATTATAAATTCATTGTTCCACAAATTTCCCCATAGTATTGCTGTCAGATGCATCTAGATTCATTGGTTTGTTGGTGTCCAGGTCCTCAGAAATGACAGCTCTCAAGAGGGCAGTACATTCTCAGGGGTTCTCAAACATTTTTATAGTATAATCTGTAATTATAAATGAAAAAGCTGCCTAAAACTGAGGCACACATGCATTTACGGAATAATTATTCTAATGATTAAAAACAAAAATAAAAATAAAAAACAAAAAACATTAACATGGCGTAAAAGTAGTTTATGTTATAGGTTGATGTTTAGTGTCTTTAGTTCTCAGTCTCTCAACCTTGCACATTACTGACTTGAATCTGATAAAGGAGCCTATTCTTTGGTTTACCACATCCTCCAGCTAAAATCAGTTGGCAATAAGACTCTTCTAAAATCCTGTATCTTGAAATCCTCAATTCTGAATTTCTGTTCTATTGAAGCTGTATGCATTGTGAAAACCGCTACTAGCCTATATGTATTAATCTACAAGGCCTATCATGGTAGACAAATAATGGTTAGTCTTATCAGTAAAATTAGGTCCCTTGGGTTGCATATTAACAGTAAATCATAATTATTTATTGTATTTTCCATTTATTTAATGTCCATCCATCTCATCACCCAGTGCTGCTGATAAACAATATGAGACAGCACTCTGAGCCCCATATCCAGGTTACCAAAGTGGAGAAAGGGCCTGCTGTGTATGTTTGGTTAGTTAGGGTGAAATATTTGAAGTTGTCTTTTACCTGAGCATAGATAAAGTTACTGGGGAAAAAACCCGTAGAATAAAATTATTACTGACCAAAGATATATTTCACTGGGTGCAAGATGATCAGGACCCTGTGGAAAAGTAATGAATAATCTGCTGTAGTAATTCTCAACACTGTTTTACCTTGTGTCTTTCAGGTCTTTATGAGCAGGCATTTCTTATACAACTGCAGTCAACCAATCCTGGATGTGAAGATAGCCTTTTGTCAGGTGTGTGTTCCATACAGGTAAAAAGGTACTGTATTGATTCCCCTTATTGTTCTTTAAGCAAGCAAGTTTCTCCTTACAGTCACAATGTACACTTTTAGTATTATATCTGGCTGTTACTAATATTTGGGAATGAACAACTTTAAATTGCAGTTATAGCTGAGTGCTCAACTCACAGCTGGGCTATCTGTTAATTTGGTTCACACTTTTTGTTTTGTTGTAATAATCAGTCTAACTTAATGGGTCCTATGCAGGCATTACATCCAACTACCCTCAAATGAAAGAGAAATGGTTTGCATGTTTCCCACTGTATGCAGAGCAGAGATATGAGCGCACTGTCTCGCATATAGGTTGAGCTTTTGCCAGGTTTGGTGAATTAACCAATGGTGTGCTATTACTGCCAGCTGACCATCTGGTATGTGATAGTATGTTGTATGCTTTATACTGTAGTTTGACAGTATATTACATGCCTTATACTGTACAAAATATTGTTGCAACATAATGTGATTTAATTTGAAGTAGAGACTAAAGCATACATTAGGAATACTGATATTGGCTATAGAAATAAGAGGCAAACTAACTGATAATGAATACATAGGTGATGCTTCAGAGCAATAAGAATTAGATCTCCCTCACTCTCTTTAAATTGCATCCACAGTAGTGTGTAATGTAAAGTCCTAGTGCACTGTAATCTCATAAACGGTGGCCTGTACCATGAGTGAGATGACCGTGAGGTTGCTCAAGAGCTGCTCTGCAAGACACTCGCCTTTATTAAATTATTAAAAGGCTTTGCATGGCATGTCTGTATTTCACATGTGAAGGCGACTAATCACTGCTTCTGCATCTATATTTTTTGTAGTAACAATAAGTCTATATTTGATGTTCAAATGTGTAGCAGTGAAGGTACTAATTTCAACAGTGTCTCAGAGAAGTGCTGCTCTCTGGTTGAGAGTGGTATTGTAATTAACAACTCTGTAATTAACTGATATTTTTGTTGAGCTACCATTTGTAGAGACTGATTCCTTAATTAGTATGTGCGCGTTAGGGAAAGAAAAATAGTCTTTTAAATTAAATACTCCTGCTTCCTATAATACAAATACAATTATTGAGCTGGATATTTGTAACTTCACAAACTCACTTGCGTGGCTGTACGGTTACTTGGGAGGGCAGACCAATCACAGAGCAGCACTCAAATGAATCAAAACAAACATGGCAACACTGACAAATGTACTTTAGCCTATTTTTTGGTCAATACAGACTGTTTAGTTTGTACTTTTGTGGACAGGGAAGATGTCTTTTCTTTCAACTGGCTGGACAAAAGTTAGAATTTTTCAGTTTGTTGTGACACTTCAACCAATCAGATTCAAGTAATCGTCATGACATTTCGTGTTTTCCAATTGCTTTCAGTGAGAGCCATTCCAGACTGATAATGTGTAGAACTCAATTCAGTTACTTCCTTTTGTCTTTATTTCAGATTACTTATTTGAGGTGTAAAAAGTGGTATTTTCAAAATAAATGTTTGGGACATTTTGCATTCTATTGGATTGTCTAGAATGTGCTTTCTTTATGTTTTTAGGGATTTGGAAAACAAGTGGATGTGTCATATATTGCCAAGCATTACAACATGAGCAAAAGTAAAGTGGACAACCAGTTCTACAGCGTGGAAGTGGGAGATTCTACCTTCACAGTCCTAAAACGCTATCAGAATCTAAAGCCCATTGGCTCCGGAGCTCAGGGAATAGTTTGGTGAGTGCTCTATTTGTGTTTTGCTGGCATGTGAATGTGTTACTGTAAAGCTCAGTTTCAGTATCCTGTACAATAATTTGATTGAATAGCATTGGCAATATATAAGCATAGCTTCAGCCTATTCCTTTTTTGTTAAAAATAGTATAAATAGATTAAATTTATACTTGATACAAAGTACATCATAGAATATTGATTTAGTAAAAATGTGCAATGTGGTTTACCACAGCCAAAGTGGCCTGGCATTGTGAGAAGAGGAGAGAGGACAAATTATATTAGTGATGGCCGACTTTTAACCTGGCAGGGACACAGGGCCCAGGTGCCCCTGTTTAGGAGGACTGCCCTAGGATCATCACAATATGTTACATTTTAAAACTTTGAATGTATTTCTTGATATTAATGCAAAATAAAAAAAAAAAAAATGATGTTTGAACTGCTCCTTGCTGAAGGATACGATTGTGTGGAGCATAAGGACTAGCAGCATGAGCACTTAAGAGAATACTTAATCCAGATCCCAGCTCAGGCTCATAGTTCATTGTAATTCACTCCATGCCCTCTTTGACAGAATGCACAAAACCACTGCCAGCGTTGCACTTAAAGGAATCAGTCTCCATCGTACGACTGGGCGGTAGAGTCATGTGTGCTCCTGCTGGGTCATCATGCTATAGCAGACCCTTGTTAACCCTTCATATGTTCTCATGATTAACACTATCCATATAGTTGATTTGGTGATTGCCAACTCATTCACTTCATCTGATCTTTTTGGCCTCCTTTGTTTCCCATGCCTTGGGTGCTCTATTCTCTTCAGGCTTCAAAGCTGTTTTATGCTTTACACTTACTTATTCTCCTGCACATATTCCTGCTAGTGGCCATGCATGGATAAGTCTTACCCAGGTCAGCAACTATGAGTCACAGTGGGGTACAGACCAGAGAGTGCACACAAGTGATGTTGATATTGTCACTGCCTCTCTCACAGACTCATTCCATATAAACAGTCCAGTTTAAGTAGTGCGATGCCACGGAAAATTATGTTATTTATTATTTATTTATTATAAGACATTTGTTTTCATTTACAACATCAGTGTAGAACAGGAGGAGCACAAGTCACCACCACCATGTACAATCAAGTAAAGCCAGAATATTGGGTCTGTGCCCATCTAGAGGATTATGTAATTGTGAGGGTCAAAAAGAGATGGAAATATCTATTTCATTCATGAGTCCAATGCTGCTATATGTTCTCAGCTATTTCGAATACTATTATGATTTTCCCACAATATGACTATTAGCACTACACATATACATAAAATAACTCAAGTAAGTAAGTAAATAACTCTTCACAAACAGCATTTTTTATATCAGCTGTGATGTGCATTAATCCTTTTTTGGATGACATAATCACTTTTACTTTAACATCTGTCCACCTGTGACTAAAATCAAAATTTTTCTGCACACAATATAAGATTATGGTCTATTTTAATTGAAGCGGGGACTACTAAACTTTCAGACAGGGGAAGCACTATATACATTTTAATTCTTATCATATCCTATTACTTTATTTACATTTATATGTAATAGTTTAGTTTTAATAGTTTGTTTTAATGTTAATTGTTTAATAGCACAATAATTCTGCTTTGTGAGTATGAATATTAGAATTAAGCCTGTAATCTTTGATTTCACAATTTAGCTATTTTTCTAAACCTCAATTATTAAAAACACAAATTAATCTAATTAATTTGATTAATTGCTCATCTCTCTCTACCTTAACCTTAACCTTAACCTTAACCTTAACCTTAACCTTAACCTTAATCAGTATAAGGCAGATTGGCTCATTAAACAAGGCAAAATATATGAGGATTGAGGACTTAGTTTAGCTGTTGATGACGTAATCTTTTTCAAACAAAACTGATATTACACACTTATTATTATAATTGCTTTTCTCTTGAGAGAAACATCATATTACATCTCACCCTGTCATCATCAAACCCACTCAGCATTCAAACAGGAAGTTTAGCTTGCACAAATAGCAAGTGGAGAGATTTAACAGAAGAGCAACTTGTGTAGCAGCCTCCCTTTATAAGTCTTTTATGGCCACCGTGGAATGGTGTAATGAAAACAGACATAAATTCTTACAACAGGCAAACACAAATGGTTCTCAGGTAGGAATTATACAGAGTCAGCAAAACAAAAGAATTCAACTGTGATTGCTCCTGAATCAATACAAAATATATGCAAAATAGAGGTAAATCTTTGTTCTTTTTTATTAATATAGTGGATCAAACTGGATCAAAAGTAATGAGATTCCACAAAAGTGCATCTGCCTTTTTGTTTTGCTTAGACTGGACAGTAGTGATAGAAATTCAGGGAGAAGAAGGAGAGACATTCATCATATTTGAAAATAATGCTTAAAGTGTATGCATTACATTTTCTTTCAAATAAATGAGAATTTATTATTATTGAATTAGTACACCAATTCATATCATTAATGTACTAATGTCCACTTTACAATAGGGTCCCACACACCACCCTCCCACTTCATTTCAGATGTGTTGTGTTGCCTTCTATTAGGCCTTAACAATAAAGTCATCCATCTTCTCATGTGTCTTTGTCAGCAGAACTTGTCATACTTGCTGTGACCAGTGGCACTGCGAGTGGATGTATTTGCACAGATAGGGATGAGTGATTCATTCAGTCTTATTCTTTTCCTTCTGCAGTGCGGGCTATGATGCTGTTTTGGACCGAAATGTGGCCATCAAGAAGCTGAGCCGACCCTTCCAGAACCAGACTCATGCAAAGAGAGCATACAGGGAGCTGGTGCTCATGAAATGTGTCAATCATAAAAATGTAAGCAAAGGAGACATACATGCAGGCTGTGGAAAAATTCTGTGAAATTTTAAGTTTTGTAGACAATTTTTATGTCAGCAGAAATGATCTCATAATACAAGGAAAGCAATCAGAGATTAGGTTTAATGAACTATTCTAAATTTTATTCCTCTTGAGTATCTGCAATTTGTCTAGCTCTAGATAGTGAACCAATAATTTTGTTAACACTCTGAGTTGCTCCTCTGTATCAGAAATGTCTTGGTGATGTACATAGAATTATCTGAAATATAGTTTAAAATTGTATTCTGATACATCAAAGATATGTGCCAAATCACCATAAAATGTACACTTTTATTTTAAAATTAAGATGGCATCTGTCCAAGTCGTTAACAGAAAAATGTAGAAAATGAACCTATTTCATTGGGCAAGTGATTAGTTGACTGCAACTTGTGATTCAGAGCTTTCTTATGTAATATCCATGATCACAAACACATTATCTGTTCAACTATTTTTGATGCACATTAAACAATTACACTATTTCTCTCCTCGTTTCTCTTTCAGATTATCAGTTTATTAAATGTCTTCACACCACAGAAATCTTTAGAAGAATTCCAGGATGTGTAAGTATCAGAAAGTCACCATTATTTTCCAATAAACCATCAAATATCAATGAATGAACAAGTGTTTTATTGTCTTCAGGTATTTAGTGATGGAGTTGATGGATGCCAACTTGTGCCAGGTTATTCAGATGGAGCTGGATCATGAACGAATGTCCTACCTGCTTTACCAGATGCTGTGTGGTATCAAACATCTGCACTCTGCTGGCATCATCCACAGGGTAAACTATTTTTATCTAGTAATGCTAAATAAGTAAAAACTCTATACAACAAAATTATCTGTGCGAAAAGTACTAGTAGCAGCAATAGCATGTGCTGAGTGAGTTGTTGTAGTCATGATTAGTCGTTGCTTGTGGCAATGATAATATTTTTTGTGGAAACTTAAGTCACTTTCATTCTGAATACTTTAATCTTAAACTTGGGTGATGATTTAGTTAATTTGTTTCACTTGTAATTCTATATTACCAACAACCACACATATTTTTTTCTGCCACCCATAGGATCTAAAACCAAGCAATATAGTAGTGAAGTCTGACTGCACTCTGAAGATCCTTGATTTTGGTCTGGCCAGGACTGCGGGCACCAGCTTCATGATGACCCCCTATGTAGTGACGAGATACTACAGAGCTCCAGAGGTCATCCTTGGAATGGGATACAAAGAAAATGGTGCGCAATACCAACTATTTATTTAAAGTTTGTATATAAAGCACATCATATGAAGGTGAGAAAATGTGCTAATGTCAAGTTTAGTTGTATGAGAAATGAGTCATTGATGAAAAGCCCCCAGAATAAGAAGTGAGAGATTCACTGCCAGCATAAGTCACAAACTGATTCATTAACTGATTCTGCCATAACAAGTGTGATGCCATCATTGAGCTTCTGCCACCTCCAGTATCTGTGCCACTAGTTAGTCGTCTGGTGGTGTCACTTGTTTTATTTACGCATGTAGCATGCCTGATCTAAAATGTTGGCTCAATAACCACTGCTTTCTATTCACCTTTGGCTTTTTAGGTTGTCTAACACTAACGACTGCCTCTTCTCTTGTTTTCCTGCTGATCCTGGCCTTGCTCTCTCCTTGCTGTGTGCAGTGGATATTTGGTCAGTAGGATGCATTATGGGAGAAATGGTGCGCCATAAAATTCTTTTCCCAGGGAGAGATTGTATCCTTCTGTAAAAACAGAGCTCACAACCTAACAACTGTGCAATATAATCACTGCAATAGCCTGATGCACTTCCTGTGTTTTGTTTAGATCACTGTATGACTGTGTAAATTTGGAATTGTTTGTGACTATCCAATCTATTTGATTAATACACTGCAGCAAACTGTTAAACTTTGCTTCTTGACTAAAATAGTTCATCTTATCACAACATTGCTCAACAACATGAAATAAAAGTCAAGAGTTTTGTAAATTGTAGCATTCTGTAGTATTCAGACAGCTGGTACATTACATCCCCATTATGAAGTGGCTTATAATGCTGTAATGCTGAGAATACCTGTGTGTTGCCGTAGTTGACATGTGGTCACTGGGCTGTATCTATGGAGAGGTGATAAGAGGGACAGTGCTGTTCCCTGGGACTGATCGTATCCTTCTGACAGCTCCACTGTAATTTGTGCATTTGAAAGAAGGATAACAGAAGACGTCATGTCACATGTATTAGGACAGCACTGAGTTACAAAGGTGTGATGCTAATTATGCCCTTTTTTTAGCTGAGAGCAAAAATTTAGCAAAATATAAAATTCCCTAGACTGGTTTTAGGCATCTGGTGGAATGAAAGTTTTGTTTATTGTTTCAGGTGTCTACATCATATAAAGCAGGGGTGTCAAACTCATTTTGGTCCGGGGGCCGTATCCAACCTACTTTGATCCCAAAGGGGCCGGATCAGAAAACTCATAGCATATATACCCCAAAAATAGCAATAAGTTCAAATATTTGTGCAGAGAAACACAAATCTATTACAGAAATCTTTTTTAATTGATGAACTCTTTCTTTTACAAAATATTATAATATTATGAACAACCTGAAACTTTAAGAAAAATGCAATTTCAACACAATATTTTAACAATAACTTGTTTGCAAATAGGAATAAGTCAATTTTTCTTGGGAAATCCTGCACTCGGCTCCACTTTTCTCATTTTGGACATTTTGTTGATGAGGGTGTCACGGTCAACAGTCAAAACGATCGTCCTTTAAGAGCATTTGGAAAGAGACAAGTCTTCATTTGTGCTGCTCTGGTGGGAGGGGCACGTACAGAGACACTGGAGACACTGCTGTGATAAACACCACAGAAAATTACCAATATTTTAATAGAAAATATAATTAAAATATTTTAGTAGAAAATCAGCTGAGGGCCAGATTAAAGGTCTTGGAGGGCCGGATCTGGCCCCCGGGCCTTATGTTTGACACCTGTGATATAAAGTATATCAATATTTGCATCATTCATGTTCCATATTATTTGGGGACAGGTTTAGCTTTTGCAGGACTGTTGTTGTTAATTTTTCCATAACCTTGACCCTCATACCAGACATTGACCAATGGAACAAAGTGATTGAGCAGCTTGGGACCCCCTCTCCAGAGTTCATGAAGAAACTCCAGCCCACAGTCAGGAACTATGTGGAGAACAGGCCCAAATATGCGGGCCTCACCTTCCCCAAGCTGTTTCCCGACTGCCTGTTTCCTGCTGACTCTGAGCACAACAAACTCAAAGGTGAGTGCTGACCAGTAACAGCAATGCAATATTAAAATATAGTCTATGTCCTTTTCTACTTATATGAAATGATTATCAAAATTACCACAACTTATGTTTATAGGTGAAGGTAAAGGTACTCAAAATAGGACACAGTATAGATATTGGGATTTTGATGTAACAGGATTTTTTAAGTTTAAATTTAAGTTTAAGTTTGTATTTTCCACACTATAGGGCGTGCTCATAAGCCTCCAACCCCATAAAAAATGGTTGTGCGCCCCGCGATCTAGAGCACCCTATACACGAATCCTCAATAGTACAATCTGAGAGGATCATGCCTCTTTCAGAAAGCTCTTGTGAGGACCAGCCTGAAAAATCACTGTGTCTCCATCATAATCTGTGGGATAGTCTCGATGAAACTTTAAAAGGCTCTAAAACAATTTACACATTTAAAAAATATATAAGACTAAAATTATAGAGAAATATAGAGAAATACAATAAATCATATTTTACCCTATCAAACCTACAGATTAACTGTAACCCCCAATTATATTTATATATTTAAGTGTATATTATAAACCAATAGGTATAAATAATAATAAATAAATAAAAATTATAATAATAAATAATAAATAAACATGTACAGGGAGCATGTGTGTGTGTATGAACATTAACGTATATTGGATTGTGTTCTGTATTGTGTAAGTGTATACTATAACATTTAGGACATTTTCTTTCCTGCTCTCATAAAAGAGGACTTTTTCTGGTTGTTTTCTGTAAATAGTTCTGCCATCTTGTATCCTATTCTATATGTTAATAGGGTTTGGCAAAACAAGTGTTAAACTTCAGCCTAAACCCCTTCGGTCTACAGAATAACCTTATTTATATGCATTAACTGCATAATTTGTTTTTTTTTGTTTTTTTTGTTAAATCATTGTTATATGATGCATGATTATGTTAATTGACCAAAGAAAATAAACTACTACTACTACTACACTCGGGTGTCCCAGCATGACTTCAGTAAACTACAAAGCCGCACCACTCGCAGCGCATGCAAAATGGATGAGGAACGGAACGGAGGAACGAACTGAAAAAGCAAGTGCAATGTGCCATTTCTAGCTACAACTGAACAACTGAGTCACTGCGAACACGCCAACAATCCAGCGGTCCAGACAGCACCCTCCCTACCTGCCACAATTGAACAAAGCCCAGAGTCACTGTAAACACACCAAACAAAGTCCGACTGACCCATCTAACTGTTGTGTTTCGTTTAAAGTCCAGTGCGGTTTATTTGTGAAAAAAGTTTGAAAATAGATCGTTCAGTGACAGTGCGCCTTATAATCCAGAGCGCCTAATAGTGCGGAAAATACAGTACTTTACCCAAACGTCTTGAAATACATGGAGCTATTTACTAGCAGCATGTCTCTTTTATCTTTTTCTAATATTATTTTGGGTTATCTATACATGTTTTGCAAAGCAGGTGTTTGCCAATAATGTTTGATTTATGAACTCTATACGTCTGGCAGATTGTGATTTTCAAATTACATGAAATGAAGATAGTCTGTACTGAAAAAAACTGAAAAAATAATTGTCAGAAAGAAGCACTATTGCTCCTGATGGCTTGTTTTTCATCCTAACATAATTTGTGACTCAAATCAATGCATGTGATTGTTTTAATTCCATATTGTGGAACATTTACATTAATATTACATAGGGCTTTATGACTATAGGACTGCATTTTGCCTGTATTTTGCTTGTGCTGCTCTGCTGTGGCATCATGCCAACTTGACTAAAGATGTGGAGAATCACTTGTGTATTCCGGCCGCTCACTGCTACAGAGGCAGAGTTAGAGAGAGTTAGAGAGTGGGAGGTGAGGCAAAGAAGACCACTGCAGTGTACGAGCTAGAGCAAGCCAGACTGCTGCTGAGCTGGAGCCAGACCCAAGCCATAGTTCAATGATGATTCTTAATTTAACACAGAAATTCACAATGTCTTGAGTCTAGCCTATTAACACATACATTCTCTAACATGGAGGTGAATGTGATTATTTGGAATATGATGATTTAGAGTACAAACAACATTTCTATCTTAACCAATAAACCATGTCACATCATAAATATCTGCATATAACCTCTCTAGCCAATAAGTCCATAAAGGATTTGACATTATTTCATCTGCCTTATTTCAGCGAGTCAGGCCAGAGACCTGCTGTCCAAAATGCTGATCATAGACCCAGCTAAGCGGATATCAGTGGACGAGGCCTTACAACACCCGTACATTAACGTGTGGTATGATCCGGCCGAGGTGGAGGCGGTGAGTTCGCCTTATCAACGGACCATTGATCCACTTCTTTCTGTCTTTGATTGGGCAAGTTTGATCTGAGTAATCTTCACAGTATTATATGAGCTTTATTGTACTCCATATAGATTTAAAATGTGGACTGTTGTCATAGCAAACCATGTCATTCCAAACTAAATATAAAATCTTTCAAATGTTCAAAAGTCTTACAAATAGTGTCCTTTATAGAAAAAAAGTCATAGGACTTTGTTTATGACCAGAAATTGACTACAAGTCCAATGTTCATCAATAGTATAAATAATGCATTTGTTTTAGTATTCAACAAATACATTCTGATATTTTGTACCAATCAAAATCACTAATCATGTCACTAATCATATGTCCTCACTGTGTCCTTCAGCCTCCACCTCAGATCTATGATAAACAACTGGATGAGAGAGAACATTCTATTGATGAATGGAAAGGTAAGTCCTGCACCATAGTAACACAGCATAGGCCTAACTGGTACAAATCCTGATTCACATGTCTTCTCGGCAGAGTTAATTTACAAAGAGGTGATGAACTTTGAGGAGAGAACGAAGAATGGCGTAGTGAAGGGACAGCCTTCACCTTCAGGTACTCTCAGTGCATAACTAATGGCTCTGTAAGTGAATTTATTACAACCTTACTGGAGTTCCCTGTAGATAAACATACCCATTGTGCTGTACTCCATGTGTCTCTGTCTTTCCTGCCTACTGTCCTTTGACACCCTCTATGATAAGACCATATTTAGACTGGGCTGACTATTGCTAAGATTTACTATTATTTATATGAATAAGATTCTACTGAATCTTTCTACTGATTCTACCTACTGTTACAATTTTGTGTGTGCACAAACATATCATGCTCAAGATTTAGTCCACTGGGGTGCGTCAACTGTCAAGAGCAATTTAACTTTTTGTCCACAAAGGGGCAGCATATTCACAGGTAAAGTGTTTTTGGAACCCTATGGGCCATCCTTAACAGTAGTCTTTATGAAATTTCTAAATCATTGTGATTCACTTTTCCATAGAGAGCAACACATTAGGCTAAAGAAAGCAGCAGTTGTTTGCAGCACTATGAATATACAGCCTAACTATAAAACCGTAGCATGCAATTTACTACTGAAATTGCACTTGCTGCCATTCTAGATACTTTACTTTTACTGCTGTGCATAAATAGATATGTTTTGTCAACAAATTCTAACATAAAAAGTTGGCTTACAGCACACTATGAATTGCACTCTTAGTAATATTGTTTTTATATTGCATAGTGCAAAATGCTCTGCAGTCTGATGCTCAGTGTCCTGCTGGAGCTAAACCTTAGCTGTGTGTCTGTCCCATTAAACAGAAGTGATTGTGACTTTGTGGATGTTTTTATCTATAAAACTATTGCTATGCTGTAAATATGTGTCAGTTGTTCTGAGTAGTGCCTTATCTTGCAGTGCTGGTCTCTGTTATGTTGTGACCCCGGTGTGCGCTTCTTTCCGTAGCACAGGTGCAGCCGTGAACAGCAGTGACAGCCTCCCTCCATCCTCTTCCATCAACGACATCTCATCCATGTCCACCGACCAGACCCTGGCCTCAGACACTGACAGCAGCCTGGAGACCTCTGCTGGACCCCTCGGTTGTTGCAGGTGACTAGCCGCCTGCCTGCGCAACCCCATGTTCTTCAGGAGGTGAATGAACAACCTTAAATAAAAAGTGAAAAGACAAAAAAATGTAAAAAGAAAAAAATAAATAACCTAACTGAAATAAAATCTTAAGCCTGTGCATTGTTGTTTAAAAATCAGCAGTGGTATTTAAAGTTAAATAAGAGTATAATGTTAATTAACCTTGTTGCTTTGCGTATAAACTGCCCCTTATGTTTTAAATGGAAAAATTACTGCTTAAATCTGCATTTCTTGTGAACTTGCATATTGGCTGGCTGCTGGTGTCCCAACTCTTTGCACAGGCATTTAAGCTCAATCCACTGTGGCAAGGTGGGCCGCCATTTTGCTTACCGCCAATGTACAATGTAAACATTCTATCTTTTATGTGACAACACTGCTGTATTTAACTTTCAACACCCATTCACTCTTATGCCCTCAATGAACGGTTGCCTGATTTGTGCATCTATGTGTAATTCTGCAGGGATTTGTAGATTTGTAGGGATTTCTTGCACATGGGGGCCACACCCCCTATATGCTTCATGTAAATAATGTAATTCTGTACAGTTGTAAGACAGAGTACACAGAGTGGGACAGAAGGCCAGTACAATATTGAGTTTTTCTGTTTTACTATTCTGCACCTTGCCACAATACTGCTTTACACTTGTGTTGCCCCCCCACTATACCATCACTTTTTGCTGTTATATTGCATGGTTAGGCTGAAAACAATGCTAATCTCACTGTATGCTAAATACACGTCTGTATAAAAATGATCTATGTAAACTAACATGAACAAATGGGGGTGTATTCACTGAAGTGTATATAACTGTGATTTCTCAAAGAGTTAAGTGAGTTTGACATCCATATCTCCCATTGTTATGTAGCTCTCTCCATGGCACCTGTCACATCCAATTTATTTAAATTTTGTATTCCTCAGTCTCAACATTAATATATTTATTTTCATAGATGGACATTGACAATGGCAAGTGCCTTTTGAAGGATGCAGTTGAAATGTATTTTTCTCACTTCTCTATTCCTTTGCTCATTTTGTTCTGCCTTAACCTCTCGTCACAGCCCTTAAGCAACTAAGCATCCAGGCATTGTAATGCTACACAACTTTGGCTGGAGTAAATTCTCATTTTAGTGTGATATTTAAAAAAGCTTGCATATGGATTGTTCAGCTCTGCACTCATTACTTATTACTAATAACTTCAAATTTATTTTTGTTTAATTGGAGGATTTTCATTCGGTCTTGGTCCCTGTAATTTCATTGTAGAGGGTGATGTCTCTAGATAGGCAACCACTTAGACTTTCGTTCAGTGTCTGGCCAGGGCTCTTTATTATTATATAACATAACAGGGTGCAAATGCATTTTAATCTCACTGTTACCATTATCAGCTTTCACCATCTCACAAATATTATTACATTTTTTTTCTACAGGACATTTACAGAACAAATTTGTGTTTATTTTTAAATGTGAATTTTATGACAATTCTGTAGGTGCTTTTTTGGAATCATAGCACCATAACATTGCAAAGGCTGGTGGCTGGAAATCTAGCATTGAATGTACCAGAGATTTTTGTTTGATTTTTGTAATGCACATCATTACAGATGCCATTACAGTGTCATCTCTGTGTGAAGATGTGATTTGACAATTCAGTTTAGTTTTGTTTTTAAACAATGAATATTTTTTGATTCATTGTGAGAATGTCATTGCCCCCCTTCAGTACAAACTGTTTGGATCTGTGTCTAAATTCTCTCACCTTAGGAGTGCTAAATTGCTGACACAACAATAGTTCTCATTATTTATTAGTAGTAATTGGGCCATAATACATAATTGCCAGTTCACTATATTGCCACAATAGTAATATCCAACCACTTGTGCCAACCTTTTTGTCCCATTTTAGAATTTGTGATCTTACTCCATCTTGTATATAAGATCCAACAATGCAATAAACACTTTATTGCACCCACAGGGAGCTGCTGTAGGAGGTCAACCGATGTTAACAAATATCACATGTAATTTTAAGAACAATTCAAGCTTGTATAGCATCTGAATCAGGTGATGTACTTTTACAACTTCTCTCTATCTTCAATTGGCTTTTCTTTTACTCTGTGCAGTTTTAACAGACTATACTTTTGACATTGAGAAAATGGTACCTGTATTTGTTCTCATGCTGATCTTGAAGCTTTGGGCTCTAGCATTTTAAATAAAGTTTAAACAAATGCTAAAGAAAATTATAAATAAAATAAAAATACAGAAAGATGTTACACAACAATTTAAAGGAACTGTGTATGTAAAAACAGTATATGTATGTGACTGAAAATAAACAAAATCTTTGAACTTGGGCTATGTCTGTTTCATTTATGATTTATTTTGCATTATTATAAAAAGTAGCCATAATAAAATACAATTTTCACATTAATGATTGTGTATTTTTTAATTGTATAAGCTACTTCAAATGTAATATGACTTTATATGATACCTGTTTTAAATCTGGGTGCACTGGAGGTCAAGTAGTATTGCTTAAGATTAAAATAGTCCAGACCAGCATTTAATTTAGACTTTATTTATAACAAGATATCTTTAAACTCAGTCTCAAGTATTGCTTCCTTCTAGTTTACACTTCAATGGAATCGGCAGAGACACTTGCAACTTACTGACTGCAGGACAAAAAAAGAAAATGTCACTATAGGCTACTTAGACTCAAAATATTTTGAAGCATTCAGTTTGGTTTCAAGCTACATTTCAAAATGCAATTACATCCAAAAGTGTTTGAGAGCCAATTGTGCATTGAATTTTCTTTCCCAGAAGAACTTATCTAATAGATTCAATTTTTTAAATGTGGAACTCAAATATGGCATGCCGCTCCTTAAAATCATCTATTTTATACACTGTATTATAGTATTGTATACATCATATATGACATTTTTGCCATAGAGAATGAAGAAACATGATACACGTACTGTATTTTGTCATCAATGGCTCATCGTGCAAGATTTTTGCAAACTATAAAACATGAAACAATCTTATCCACATATGATAAAACGTGCCATTCCAGTATTCTATACAATATTTACAGTATGGGCTCTTTTGGTCATAAAGTTATTGCAGCAGCACATAGCACAGGTGCCTATACTGTACACAGTACCACTCCACTCAGTTTCAAAGACACATATAAGTGCAAGGAACATATCTTAACTCACATAGACATCTATGTATTATATTCAGTTTGACACATATTTTCACTGTTTCCCAATATGTACATGAACAGGCAACAAAGAGGGATACATTTAGCACCTAAAGCTGGTCATTTTATTGGACCAATCTATCCCTTTGAAGTAAAATGCTGAATCTTCCGACTTGCTGCAGTATCCTTTTAACTTGACAATGACATTGTAAATAACAGTGTACTATAATCACCCCAGGTGATTTTAACATATTTAAGGTCTTTCCCCTAATTTAATAGTTTAAACACTATACATTGTAAAAAGAGCAACCACCAAATCCCGTTTGGAGATACTCAGATCAACAATAAACAATATTTAGGTAAAGTACCATGTCCCTCAGTGTCTTTGACCTACTGGATCCAAATGGTGTTGTTGCGATCTGCTCTCCTGTGCTCAGTGGCTGGGCTACTGTTTGCTGTCAGGTCACTGAATGTGGAAAAGAACTGCTCCATCTCTTTCTGTAACATCTGATTTCTGCGCTCAGCATCATCCTTCGCCCTTTCTGCATTACGCAGTTTGATCTCTACCATGGTGTACTTCTTCCTCTCCTGGTCCAACTCCTCATGAAGGTTCACCATCTCTGTCTCCAGCTCTTGGTTACGCTGCTCCAAGCTAAAACGTGAAAAAGTGAGTAGGTTAATATGTGTTCCACAGACACAATAAGTTAAAAAATGTCACTGTAAAAACCCACCTCTTAATCCTGGCCTCATACTCACTCTTCTGCTTGTGCATTTCTTGTTTGAGGCTGGCCACAAGGCTGTGCAGAGCACTGTGACTCCCAACTCCATTGGGTCCAGTGAATGAGTCAGCATGATCACTACTAGTGGAGCCTCGACTGTTGCTGCCCACACCTTCCCCCTCTCTAAGGCTACTCCGGTCCCCCTCTGCCGCTGCTGATGGGACAGTCTCTGTTTTCTGTCCTGGTGCATCCAGGTCCTCAAAGTGGCTTGTGTAGAAGTCCTGCTCAGGACAGGTGGTGGTGGAAGAGCGGCAGGAGGTGGAGTTGTCTGGCAGAGAGATCTCACATGACGAAGTGGACCAGGTAGCGCTGTCTACACTCTGCTTGTCTTCACAGCTGCTGCTCAGGCAGGTGTTGTTGAGTTGGTTTTGCTGCAGCACATTTTGATGGTTTACTTGGACATTGTCATACGTAGAGAGACGATTCTGATTAGACATTTGATCAATAGTGACTTTATTGTTGTCACGTAAAGTCACGCAGCCATTTGAAATCCAATGTGCATTTCGGAAGTTGCCAGTGTCTGTGCTCAAAACACCCATACGCACATTTCCTCCAGTGTTGTTTGCACTTGCCACTCCACCAGTGCCCATCTTTGTACCTGAGCCTTTGATTGTGCCAGTCCGGCGTCCTGTTAAAGTCCCGCCCCCAATCAGCAACTTGTCCAGAGTGGGGTCTGAGGAGGGGGAAGAGCTAAAGGACCCATTTGTAACAATCCCACTGCCTTTACCAAATGCAGAGTTCTTTTTCACAGTCAGAGGTGGGCTGCGGGTGATGTCAAAGTGTGCTGTCACTCCATTATGAGGACTGGCAGATCTGGGAGAGCTGCTGTTGTCTGAGTGTTTGTGAGAAGGAGAGTCTGAGGCTTCCCATACACACTGTCGAGACACCTGCACATTGTTGTTCTCAGCATTCTGAGACACCAGGGTGTTGGAGGAGGTAGTTGTGGGCACCTGTGGCTGAGAAAGTTCAATATTGTTGTTGTTTACAAGCTCTAGAGCTGTGGGGCTGTCATCGCCATGAGGGAAGAGAACGTCATAGCGACCAATCAGAACAGCCATTAGCTGCTGAACCAAGACAGTACCTAAAGCACAGGATTTTGTATTACTTGTCTTTTAAATATGAAGCATTTAAATGTCCATTTCACTGACCTTCCATGATAGCTACTGGATCTTCCACTTTGGGTCGCAATATATTGGGTCCAAACACTGTTGCAAGATTCTGCACACTCATCTTATTCACTCCTGAGTATGACTGCACTTCATCTAAAAACCTGGAAGAATACCTATTAATATACTTCATAGAGATAAACTATTCCTTAATGACACATTGTGGGAAAAAACTTACCTGCAGATGTATTTGAGGAGATTGTAATTTACTGGAGGTAGACTGTCAATAAGTTTTCTTAACTCCTTTATTCCCTGTATACAACCAATGTTAGAGTAGATTTCTTTGTTTTAAAAATTCTGAATTTACATTTTTATTGATGTCCTCACTTCTTCTTCATCTTTGCTGAGCACTTTTGCACAAGCCAGAAATTCATTATAGTTGTGGAAAGGAATCACAGGCTCAGGCAGCTCTCTGAGATACAGCTTTAAAAGTGAAGCCACTGTGTGCACATCAGTGTTACTGTGAAAACAAAACACAAAAGACAAAATATACACAATTTAGCTAAATTAATAACACTAAATGATCAAAAGAAGAGCAGCACTGGTGAAAATAAGTACTAAAAATAGCGCTAGTCAGCAGTATAGGATAAAAATAATAAATTCATAGTAATGTATTTATGAATAATTGCTAGAGACACATAATGCCAGTGTTTGGATATGTTTAAATTTAAGGGAAACAAATCTGCTTCCCATTTACCATTCAATTCCCTGTGCTTCCAGTTCTCTGTAGTCCAAAATTCTAACAAATCAAGTGCACATTAAAATGACTGAGAATCCCATTACACCATATCCCTGCTTCTTACCTGTCAAAAGAGGGCTTTTCTCCACAGTCGAAGGCCTCCTGCAGATCTTTGACCAGGTTAGCTTGTCCTGGGAGCCTGAAGAGTCCCTCTTCCTGAAGCCCCCGCTGTCGGATGAAATCCACGCATTGTTCCACCAGCATTGGAGCCAGTTTGTTCCCAAAACGTCGCTCGTATCGCACAGTCTCCTCTAACTTCTGACCGAAGATACCTGGAACACACAAAGTGCTTTGGAATAAATGTCTATTATTTATAAGAAAACTTAGTAACTCAGGTGCTGCCTTGGTCGACACAGTATAGGATAGTACATTTCCGTATCTAGACAGGTAATTTACACACATTCAGGACAAAAGTATTCAAATGATTCTAAATACTTAAACAAGGCAACTAACACATGTGAAATCCCTGGAAAGGCCACATCCAGGACATATGAGCAACAGTTACTTACCTCTAAAATGGACACAAATCACAAGCTTCTGGAAAATATGTTGATTAATAAATTTGTGTGAGATAATACAAAAAGGAATCCACAAAATCTTCTTGTATTTTGACATATTAAAAAGAACCAAAAACTACCCAAGAACGACAGCAGCAAAGATCTCTTTAGGCTACACAAAACTGCAGTGAATTCACAAAAATTTTTTGCTAGGAGATAAATCCATATACAGTAAAAGCAACACACAAAACTCCAACAAAAGTCCTGCTGAGTATAAAATAGTGCAGTAAAGAGATGAAAAGCATGACATCCCTCCAGACACACTGGTCATGAGTCTGGGAATGTTTTTCTGAGTCACATGTATCACTGTGTGCACCAGCCTGTAAACTGAGAAAAAAAAAAAAAATGACTATAGCAGCTTGGCCCAGCTGTCCTTGCAGTATACAAGAATTCTGATGATTTGTTCACAAACAGATGTAAAATATGCAAATATATTTAATATGAGGTGTTCTAAAAAAGGGAGCAAGCCATTTATAATTACCATTAATAATCCAAACGGAGAAGCCGCAGCTGCACATTTCTCACAAGAACTTGAAGTCCCACTTTAAAAGCTTAAAAACTATAGCAATTATTAAACTGACAAATTCCTCCTCTTAGTATCACTGACAACTAGAGCTGGGCTGCTCTCACTGTTTCACTCCTATGGTTATTCAGTGCCCTTTTATTTCTACAGTGTGAATGAGCTGGAGTGTGCTTTTCCATGCCTATGGGACAGGCAGTGCCCAGCTCTGGTCCAATGTTGAGCCACCTCTCTTGTGGCATTTTTGACATTTGACTTGTCCTTTTGAAGAGCAGTCAACTGCAATAGACGTCAAACTCAGTACTCTGAAAACAAAGGGGCCAACCAAGCCCCATCTATTCACTGTCTGTCTAGATAGAAGTGCTGTGTTGAAACATGTCTCTTGGTTTTTGGTCAATGTGGGCTATGAACCACTATAGTCTGGTATGAGCCACGGGAGCTTTGAAGAAGGCATATCATCCTAGTGAAACTATATTTGTAAAAACTAATATAATTTTTTTTTTCAGCTCTCATAGGAATTACCCCTACTGAATAATAGTACTGAGGACTTAAATTATGACTTAATGCATGGGAAATTTAAGAAACAAAGCTCCAAAATTCAAATGAATAGAAATTACATTTATATAAATGTATCATGGTTAGTCAGAAGATCTAACACTCAACAAAACATACAGAAACTAGTTAGTTACAAAATAAGGTAATACAGCTATGCGTACTGACCTCCACCAAAAGGTGCCCAGATGACCCTGCGTATCGTCTTGACCCAGTCTTCCATGTCATTCTGTGAGCTGGCCATGAGCAGGTAAGTCTCATGGTTGGCTGTCATCCGCTCTCTTTCCCCTCCTGTGTAAAATGGAAACAAAAGAGAATCAGTACAGAATTCATGAAAATGCCACATGTACTATCCAGACAGTTCAGTTCAGTTATTTGCTTATATAGTTGTAAAAGCGCACATGAATAATCTTCAGCTCATCTCTTTAACACACTGAGTGTCTGTTATTGTCTAATTTTACATGGTAAATGTTTTACTATGTCCAAGACAACACTGTTGAGTTTTAAGTTGGATCTGTGAGTACATAGGGCTCACTGAATACATCCAGGTAAAGTCATCTCTCTCAGTCACAGCATTGTTTGCCATCATTGTTATGCAAACTTATTGTAATTACTAAGTTTCCTACTGACCACCATTGTCCATTTAAAACCAATCAAGCTTTTCCGTTTTGTGTCTGCGGCGCTTCCATTGCTGCAAGGAATGGCATTGTTTCCTTTTTGGACACTTGTGAATCAGTGTGGGACAGGATAGCATACCATAGCTGTTACAAAATTCTCAAAGCCCCGTCACTTCCTGTTGATGCCAAAGATTTTTATTTGAGGCCCTGACACTCAGGATGTCGGTCAGTGGGTGTTGGAAGATAAATAAACAAGATTAAATCAGTGCATGGGTCACATGAAAAGCCTTATTATTGACTTATAAATAAGAATTGTGCCTGTGGCTGTACTTATATACTCATGCACACATGAAGAAGACAAGTGTGACACAACAGTGTGGCCTGTATTTATGTAAATGGGACATAAATACAAAGGTCTCATACATTTGTCCATAGACACCTAAAACTGTCATTGTTAAGAGCACAATCATTAACCAATGTTTGAAGGGTTAGAAACACAAATAAACCCAGAGAAAAAAAAAAGAAAGTTGGGCAAATATTATTTATGTCAAAGAGAGTGTTTAAACTGCACCTGCAGTCAGTTAAATGTGCTTAAAATTTGAATAATTAACATCAAATTTTTGCACATTTCTCAAAATGCAGAAATGCAAAAGCTGCCCATCAGTGTAAATAAAATACTAGCAGGAGAACAGCAGAGAGCCCTGGACACAGTGTCCTCATCTCAGACTGAAGAGGCAGGCATGACTGCTGGCACAATTGGCCTGATTTGCCATGCTCCTTATAGTCCATAGACCTTTAGAGCAGTGAGCAATTCTCAGTGCAGCACAGTAAGGGCACAACTTATATGGGTCAGCAACATCTCTCTCTTGAACTTGGACTGTTTTCCATACATCATTTAGATTAAAAATAACTCCAGATGAATAAAGTACCTAACAGAAATACTTAGCCTAAAAAAACCCATGTCATTATACAAACAAGTTGTACAACAAAATAGACCATTAGTCCTGTGCTGCCACCACTATGCTGACAGTGACCTGCAAGCTCTTGGTAGGGAAAGCACAGACATAAACTCCACAAACAAGCCCCTTTCTGTTACAGATTTGAACCTAGAACCATTTGGCTCTGATGCAAGTGTCTTAACCACTGCACCACCGTGACTGTGGTGTGGTGCCTGCATACACCTTAATGAGCATGTAGCTGCGGTCCTGTGTGTCACAGCTCTTCATTGGGCTTTAATAAGTGTCTGGCAGCTGCAGACTAGTTATTAACTAATACTCTCCAACAGGTGGAGACAACAAAGGAGTCCAGTGTAGAGGAACTGGCCACAAATATCTGTAGCCTTCCACACTAATACCCTATAGCGAACACAGTCAGACCATGTAAATGAGTTAACTACTGATAAACAATTATTACCATAAATTTTGTGTTTGACAAATTCTTTCCACAAAACACTATTAGTTACAGCATATTGTGCAGTGGGTCTGCAACAATAGCCCAATGTTTTGAAATTTCAGCAGATGGAAAAGTGAAGGAAGCAACAGATGCTGGTTCCAAAAACAATGCAAAACCACATCGTTTAGCTTCATGTCATCTTTCTTGCAGAATGTTTACAGTGTAGTAAATGGCAGCACTTTCTTGTCGACAGTTCTCTGTGCATGCAAGCAGGGGCAAGTTGAGATTCAATATTGTGTCTAATGATAGTCTTCTCAGAAGTCCTCACATCATAAATACCTCCAACAGAACAGGAAGCTGCAGTAAGTGACAAGACATACCACTGCCAGATATGTGTTCATTCATAAAAAATGAAATATAATATGCAGCGGAAATAACAGCAATGCATACTTTTACTATTTCATCAAAGCAGTAAATTTGAAAGAGGCGTGTTTTCGGTATAGTGCTAATGGTGTGAATGAGGGATCAGCTAATCCCTCAGCAAGTCACAGCTGTTACAACAAAAGTGCTAGTAGTCATACAGCAGGCGTTTATGGACAGACAGATCCACATAAAGCTATCAACAAGCCCATAACATTTACAGTGAATAGACCAGTGTCTATTACCTGCACGTGAAGGTAGTAAATCTGTGAATCCATACTGTGACAAAGTCTGATAGACCACTTCCATTCCTCCTCCGGTCCACACTAGGCCAGTGATAATCCCCTAAAAGAGCAGCACTAGAAGAGGGTTCTAGGTTAATGTGAGGACGTCCGGGCGGGTGTGCTTCTGTCCCTCCCGGGGTCTGGCCTGGCTCACTAAAGACTGAGGCAGAGCAGCTGAGAGGGAGAGGAGAGGGTGTGAAAGAGAAAGGAGGAGGTTTGGAGAGGGGGTAGGGAGCGAGCATACCTCTCCACAGCACTGTACTAGGAACAATAGGCTGATCTATGAAGAAAAGAGGATTGATTTTAAAAAGGCCACAGGCAAAGACACCAGGGCATGACCTTAAAAGCAAACACAGAATCTCCCATTGACACTATAGTGCAATGTTAACTTCTCCAACAAAAAGAATATCATGATGTAATGTTAGGAGTCATACAGACTTTCACACGTCTCTACAGGCATAAGTATTGGAGGGATATTATTAAATGATATTCAGCAGAAAAGATGATTCAAGACATTTTAACCTTGTACATAAAAGCACAATATCTTCAATCTACTGTACTATTAAACTAAGCTATTAGCTAAACAATTTAGGCTTTAGGCTTTCATAACTCTACAGGTTCATTTCTTTCTTTAAAATCAATCAAAATATTCAAATGTGCTCATGCTTAATTTTAATTATACTGATAGAAGTTGTAATATAAATCTAATTGCTTGTTTATCGGTTCTTCTATCTAAAAAACACATTTGAAATTATAAAATAATATATCAAAAAATATAACTTATTCCAAATGAGAAAAAAAAAAAAAACTCAACAAATGTATTTAAAATGTTATTCTGCCCACAAAAGTGTTGCAAAACATGTTCACTTGTCTCTTGGTGGCCAAACATACACAGGTGCACTAGCTTGTTTCTTGTTTCTCTCAACCCTCAGTGAGGTATTGATAACTACTCCTGCAGGTGTCATGGTGGTCTTTAGCTGTCAATAGTCATAATCTGAAATCAGTCTCCAAAACGCTATCCCATATGCTCCGACAAACTCAGAAACACTGCCCCCATAGTGCAACTCCAGATATCCATTACCATCTATGCTGAGTGAGCAACACAGTCAATGGGACAGGGAAGGTCAAAGGGGGCACGGCTTGTTTGGTTGCACTGTTCTTCTGTGGGGAAGTGGGGAATCGTGGCACCAAAAGGATTCACAAGAATGGACATGAACGACTATATTCTTTTGTACTGTGAAAAGGCACTAATAGCAGACTGATTATCTGGGTTTGTAGGTTAAAGTTTGAATGAGTTGCGATGAAAACCCATGTGTGTACAGGATCAGTAAGTTCATTCAGGAAGTCAGTTGTGTCTGTATATAGGCGCCAAAGGTCCTGATTTTACGCTAGCTAAATAAAGAGCCATGTCCAAGGCAGCTGTAGCAGTTGAATCTACTTGTGCTTATGTTTTAAACGTGTACTGGACACAGTCACATTCAATTTTCTTAATGATATACTAAAACTGGACCATAGTATATATTTATAACTTACCCGGCTATGTTAAAAAATTTCCATGAAGTCTCAAACTGTGCTGGTGAAGCCTGGTCACTGTTGTAGCTTCAAAAGATAAATTACTAAACAAAATAACTTTAAGGTTATGTTTTGCAGTTACATAAACAATTTTAGTATGACAGATTACCAATGCCTCACTGTGTTAAGCAGCCATGGCAAAGACACAGTAAATGTTTGAGGTATGCATTCCACAGGCCTGCACAGTGTATGGCAAAATCAGTTTCTGATTTATTCATAGGTTTCAGCTTCCTGTTATAGGCAACATTTTGGAGACTTTTCACAATTCAGATAGAGATACAGATATAATATTTAAGTAACACTTTAATATTATTCCTTAATTAGCCTTAGCAGAACAAAAGTAAGGTTTAGGGTATTATTTAGACTAAGTAGGTAGTAAACCTGAATAAATTCTACGTTAACTGTTCATTATAAAATAGGTCTTTGTACATGCTTAATTAAGGGTGTTAGAAATGTTGTTATTATTAAGTGTTGTTTTAAATTGTCAATTGCTGTGGCAATATTCTATCATTCTGAAACCCTTGGATACACTCAAGACTTTGGATCAGATGTAGGATAGACTAAGCTACATGCACACATATACACAGGAAGATGTACAGTAGATACAGATGCTACAGCAAGTTTACAACCAAAAAAGGAAGAGGTCTGAGTTGAGGCATTTGGCTTTTGACAGTCTGAAGTGTAAGTAAGAGAACATACTGGTGTAATTATATTGCCAGGAATAGATGCAGACAGACAAACATGCTGGTGTTCACACAGAGGCCTTGATCCAGACCACAGAAGAAGAGGAGTCACAGAGCGCACATGGCAAACTACCTGGTTTGGCCTTAATGCCCTGTAATATCAGCTTTCAGCACTGAGCTCCCGAGGCAGTCACACACCTGCACATCCACAGGCTGAGCAGAGGGGGGCTGCTGTCTGACTCACTGTCTGCACTCTGAACTGAATTACAAGAACAAATGCTATAGTTTTAGTGGCTAATGAGGTACTACAGCATTTTTCCATG